CATCTTAGTGGAAACTCCGAAGGAGATCTCGTTGATTTCTTGTTTCTAAAGAGAGAGTGAAAGTTCATATGTACATACAATACCCCCGGTCACTTTTTATCTACCACCAACAGTAGGCAATTATGTGGATGTCTAATGGAAGTCACCTGACTCTCTCGGAAATAATTGTTCTCCACAGGATACCCGAACGTACCAAACAAGGTGGCTGACTATTGTCAGGATGGGTTTCTTCAAGTTAATATTGTTCATTTGTTTCAAAAACCATCATACCTTAGGATTCTGTCATAATACTATTCGATAGACAAATGTTTGCTCTACAAAATATACTCCATTTCATTTCCTCACACCTACTCTGGCTCAAATGGCAATCGAAATACGAGCAAACATGATATATTGAAAAATTCAAATCTTCGTACCATTTTGTTGCTCTAAACATTTAAAATATCTTTCTGAGAAGCCCGTGCCCGTCGAAGGGAAGTAGTTGCCCGTCCATACCCGTCCGTGTGTCTTTCAAGACTGTTCGTGCCCGCTGATGCCCGTCCATGCCCGCGGGCACGGGAATTCCCGTGCCCGTGAAGATCTCTATTCATCAGCCGTGTTTAGACTACTAATAAAGATGACTACTAGCGCTCGACTTTGGTTCATCTCATACAGGAAAAATGACAATGAGGTAGTTTTGTGGGGTTTCCCGAAAATGACGTGCACACTTTGCTACTGACCTACCAATTCCAGCTCATTATTAAAATAATTTTTTTTATTATGTTGATGGCTCAAGGATCAACAACGACAGACAATTGTAAAGATTTGTGTCAGCCAGAAATGGGACAAAAATATTCAAGTATGTATGTCGGTAGTGGTGGTGCCAGTGGCTGGCTGTGGGTGTGCGAAAAACAAAGCCAGAAGAAAAACGAACTGCTCAGTACGCGTTTCGGCCTTGTTCAAGGACCATTAATTTTGTTAGGTGCGAGTACGAAGTTGCCGGGTGCGGGTCGAAAAACGCCACCCGTGCACATCTCTACCTCCGACCCACATACATGCACATTTTTTGTCGCATTTCTGGCTGACACAAATCTTTATAATTGTCCATGGTTTTTGATCCTCGAGCCATCAACATAAAGTTATTTTAATTAGCTGGAATTGGCGGACGGTAGCGTGCAAAGGATATACGTCATTTTCGGGAAACCCCACAAAACTATCTCATTGTCATTTTCTCTGTATGAGATGGACAAAGTGGAACGTTAGTAGCCGTCTTTATTATACTCTGCAAACGTGTTCTATTCAGTCTTTTTATAAATGAAGAAAGTTTTTACCACCAGTTTTTACTTATAAAAACTCGAAAAATGTGGTATATGCCACGCGCATATACTGTACTTGTACCTTATTTTGAATAGGAAAAAGCAATACCGCCTTGTACCCCCACTAATAGGATCGTTTGTAGGGGTCGCTTTTCATTACTGTCAAGTTCCCGGGATCGATATTTTATTTTTCCCTCATAGTTTCTTAAGTTTCCGCTATAACTATTTTGACCAGTTCTTGGTAGCTGCGTCCACAGATGCTGTATTTTAAAAATATCAAAAGAAATTTTTTCTGGCATTGGTCTGATCAATTCCAGGGGAGTGTCACTTCAGCTTTATCACTCATGTATTAGCTGTTGTTAGGTCTTTTACGATCGCTGCATAAACTTAGAAATGGTCCCAATAGCTTTTACTGCTAATTAACAGACGTATCGCCAATGGAGCTGTTCTTCTGAGACATCTCTTTCGTTCTGTGATTGGATATTTATATAACATGAAAATTTATCCGTTTGTTTGTTTGGCTTTCAGTTATTTATTCACTTAATTTTAAAATTTTTTGTGTGGCGCACTATGTGTTTTCGGATATGCGAAACAGTAGCATAACAGATAGACAGAACGATAGAATTTTACACTTTTTAATAGAAAATAGTAAAGGGATGGGAGCAAACTTGTTGAAGGACATGAGACAAGTTCTTGAAGAATGAAAGAGGGTAACTGTAAACAGAAGCAGTAGAATGGCTTTTGGTCTTACTCTTCAGTCTATATTACAAATTTGTTGGTACATTTCGCATTTACTTGTGATCGAACGAGAGTTAATCCGGTTATTTTAGAGCAACTTAGCATGAGTGACTTTCTTGCTTCAAATAATCCGTGTGGACAAACAATTTTACAATTAGTAGCAACAGGAAATGCGATTATTAGTGAATTGCTACGTTTATCTGATTATGTACCACCGGTGTTCAAAGTAGCAAACGTAAAAGACGCCGGAAAATATGGTGAAATTATATTTGATTTTTCTTATTTTCCAAAACAAGAATATTACGATGACCTGATAAACGGCAGACCTGTATGTAGCAGAGTAAATCGTAAACTGAACTTAAAATAGTAAACCAGTTTCATTCTAGGATTTACAAGATACAGATGATGAATTTCGTGAAAATAATCTAACGTTATTAACACGTTTTTATCAGGCATTTGAAAGTGTCCACAAATATGGAATTGAATTTAACAGGTTAGTTCAGATTGAGGGTTCTCAAAAGAACATATTACCGGTGGATGATTTTATTATTCTAAGATATGTTGAAGATTTAATGAATGGCACTTATCTTCAACAAACAGTCGAA